ATAATATAAATAATATATCAACAAACAACATCCTGAATATTCTTGATGATACCTATGTATACTATATTTCGAGGAAAAACAATACGCGATAAAAATATACGGTTTCCGCATGGATACTATTTTGATACATTTAAATTTATATTTATTTTCAATGGAATCTCTCAGGGGAGGGTTGGATAGAGCCCAGCTCAGAGGCCAAATTTCATATCAGCCCCCAAAATCACTATTTATTTTTAAAAAAAAACAATCAGATATACAAAACCTGCTCTAGACCCTAGTCCAGTCTTCTGTTACCACTTTCGCATTAACTATACAGTTCATACTTATTCAACAACACAGCTGCAGCCAGATAAAAATGATACAACAAGAGACCTTTGTAAACATAAATAAAAATCATTATTTTGTTGTGTTGTAACAACGGATGATCGCTAACTTGTAAAAAAAATCCAAAGAAAAGAACGCGTGTTTAGTAGCGTCGATAAAAATGGTTAGTTTTTAAGTGTTGCCTTTTACATTCAATCCAACATGATATTACGATTGTCAAGTCCTGCTGTTTTTATTAGTACTTTCTGTACACAAAAATCAAAATGTACTAGTTTTTTTTTTGTTCCTCCTATAGAGGATAATATGTTGTTGTAACTAACAATTTATTATATTGATGATAATTTATTCTCGAGCACGGTTCTACGGAACCGTGCGACAGATGAAAAACACTGATACTGCAAGCAAACGAGCTGCCAGATGACTGTGAGAAAACTTCTGTTTCCGCACATTACTTTTGTGTTTGTTCGGTAAATATTTGAGAAGACGAAATAAATCCTGAACCGAAACAACCGATTTGATTTAAATGTGATTTGGGATTCGCCGTGTTTGCTCGACCGACGCGACAGTGGCAAATCAGTAAACCTATTCTTAATGTTACTCGGTCAAAAATAAAACACAATACTTTTCTAATATTGTAATAATTGTCCCAGGTGCACTTATTAAACACTATAGATAAACAAATACTTTACTAACATAATTATTTGAATTATGACACGGCCCGGACAGCGAATTCGCCAAGTACTTCTGAACAAATTAAGACCGTCTTATAAGGATGGGGATTGAGTTTTATTCTCAGCCACTTTATTCAAATAATTAATTAAAAACGTTAATATTCAAAAATGATTTTAGCGATTCGGTCGGAAAATTGTTTTGTGTAAAAAATTGAAATAAAAATGAAACATGATAAAATGTGCACAGCTCTAATGCCAGTAGATACATACAAATATACTATAACTGGGTAAAAGTACACAATATGTCAAGAGTTTATGATGTAAGAAAAAAAGCTGGAAAGCATATAAATAATTGTTGTTTGTTTTATTTATGACATAAACAAATAATTTATACAATTACGAACGATTACAATAACTCATACAAACAGTCATTTGAGGTTTACTCTTCTAAACTCAAGGATTTTTTTTCCTGCTTTATAATTATTATCATGCAGATAAAACAAATTATATCATTTTAGACTTTTAGATATCAACTGTATACCAAAATAAATTACAATAATTATGGTTTTCCTTTTAAAATAAGTACCAACGAACGATACTTATCATCAATTTAAATACAATAATGTGTAATGATATTTATTTTTAACATTTTATCTGTGTTAGTTTATACGATAAATATTAGATAATGTTTGTGTCATGACGGTAGGAAACGTCCGAGGACTGTAATTAACGGTAATGGGTAAAAATGTAAAATGTTTGGTGATTAGAAAAATAAATATATAATATGATTCAATACCTAATTTGATGTATATTCTATATCTATATTTATATATTACCTAAATAAGTATTATTTGTTTTGGCGCAATAGTTATACGCTAACCTTATCAAATATCAAATTAACCACTGCAGTTTTTAAGAAACTTTTAAAAATAAACGCTGCAATTAAGTGTTAACAAAACTCATAAAATTTCTATACATAGTGATTTCAGCTAAGCGTCTGATTTTTTCTTCTGTTTAATGGTATTTTGATTACTACCTCACAAATGTAACAATTTCATCGATACTGGACAAAGTGCTGTTGTCCAACAGTTAGCGCTAACAGATGTAGTCGTTTAAATTGATAGAAATGGTGGTATTTATATAGCATCAATAAAACCACCCTCGTTTGGTTCGTGTTCATTCTTTTATCGGAAATTCAATTTTTGTGTATCCTGATGTCAATGATTTTACCAAAATCAACCAGTGTTCCGGAGCAAAAAGTAAAAAAAAATTACTTTAAAAACAATAGCTCCGCATCGAAGCTAAAAAAAATTGTCAACGAATATCATTGAAATGTTTAAAACATATTATTTGGCTATACCTAAATGGTTATTTACCAAACAAATACAAATAGCTAATTACCATACAATAATTGGTTTAAAACAATATGGTGCTGTATTTAAAAAAAAATTAAATGTATAAAGTAAATTAAAAAATATAATTTTTTCATATTGATTTTATTATAAACATTATATAACAATTGCTTGTTTTCTAAATTTCTTTTAGTAGTCGACCTTTTATAACCCTTTCACTGCGAGCATACACATTTATGTTGGTAAGTTTGTTCTAGTGTGTTGTGATCCCTAACTAGGGGTGCTCTAGTGTGTTGCCCGTATATTATCAGAGACGAACCTTGACTACTTAAAAACCGACTTCGAAATAACGTAGTTGGTTTTTAGCTTTGGTCGGACTACCCGGTGCGTTCAACTATCATCGTGTGTGATTTCCTTTGTATATTATGTTTGTACAAAACGGTTGTATTCAACCGAAGTCACCTTTGCACTGCAATACTATCGCTTATATGATTAAGTTTGACAGTAAGACGTCGTTATAAATTCCTGAAACACGCTTTTGTACAAGTAAAACGTCTTTGTTTTAAAAATATCGCAAAATAAGAACGAATTCTTCCAACCTATTGGTACCACCGCTCTAATATAATATCCTTAAGTATTTGCCGCGATCGCGCGATCACTGTTATTATGTAATTAACCGAAAACCCAAATGTCAGTTATCATTATTATTATTATTATTATAAATATTTTTTTTTTGTTCGTAGAAGGGTAACCGCCTGACAATAATAATAATTACTAATTATATTGTGTACAACGCACAAAAACCGTAGGGTGTTTTTATATATAATCTTTATGTGCACATTTTTCTTCCCTGCCGCCACCCTTACCACCGTCGCCACCGATATCGTTATACAGCCAGAGTATACACGGCAAGACGTCGGTGGATGACGGCCAACAACAGTTTGTGTAAAGAGCGATCGACCTTGAAACGACAGAGCACAGATTTCTACCGACAACCGCGTCTATATAGTTACCCCCACCCCGTGTCCTTGACTCGAAAAACAACCCTCTGCTTCGCCTCATCACACACGTGTATATACACTCATATAATAATATATATATATATATATATGTATGTGTGTGTCTGTATGGCGGCGTTGCCGTTGGACGGCCAAACCTCCAAGATTCCATCACCACACATTGCTCGCCGTGTACATATTATATATATATATATATTGTTCCAGACAAAACCATCGCCAAACTGGCGCCTCTCTGGAACACATAATGGTCGATGTGAGAAGAAGACGAAGAAGCGGTATAAAATATTGGCCAAGCACACAGGGATCCGCCTACCTGTTATGTTTGCGGCGCTGTGTCGTGTATAATATGGTGGCGGGGGATATTTTTAAATTAAACGAAAGCCAAAAAAAAAAAAATCAAGTGTACAACAAAATAATGATTACTATTATATGTTTTTTTTTATTGTTATTGTTCAAGAATTTGCCATTTGGAAGGCAGAGGGAAATGAAGCTGAAAAAACCATTTATCAACCGAATCTTGTGTACTACCGCGGATTTTTCCCACACGATATAACCTGTAGTTTCTCGTTGCTTATTATTAATTTTGTTTTTATATTAATATTCCACCCTCACAGTGTCGATCGTCTACCGGATAAGTCCTGTTGGACGGGATCCGACCCTAAGACTTTGGAAGTACCATTTTAAATGTTCCTCCAGTTGTCTTGGCGTTTTTATTACAATTCTGATACAATTTTGAGAGGAATTATTGTTCACCGAACAACTGTATTGACCATATAGTGTAAGGGGCGAGTGGCGACCTTCAGAGACTTGAACGCCGCTACGGCCACCGACTAGTCGCCGCCGACGGGCCAACACGTTTACGCAAACACACATAATGTAGGCTATACGACAGCTCTTTTCTCTAGGCCAAGCATATTATAGTATTTCTAATTTGTATGTATACGATTCGGGGCAGGGGTTGTTAACGCGCCCGACCTCGCACAATACTCACTCGGTTTGGATACATAGTCAAGATTGCCAACCTTACCTAATAACCAGAGACACAAGACTTCTATGCGCTCTGAGCGCATTTTCATACAATAGTATATGGGTCGACCATCCCTTAAATAGCCCACAACCGGTTCTACTCGTTTAATACCATGTACACATGTCTGTAAAGAAGTCATTAACATATTATATTTATATGTCTCGGTGTATGTAGAAACGACCTTTGAAGATTAATTACTATATCGGAAACGGTCAACGATTAAACGTACAACGTTTTCCTCTTCTTTTCTACCACACGTATATTATAATATATATTATGTAATATTATTAGCGCCCCGTTTGCAAAACCTTATTGAATAGAATTCATAAATCACTATCAACCGCGGGACAGAAACTTGTATATATACTACGATGCCGGGTCAGCTAATGAATGCGTATAATATGCGTATGCGTGTGGAACGGCGCCGAGTAAGCACAAAACTTACAAAAGGCTGCGGTCACTTGGCGGTGGACCTTTTCATTGAAAAAATTAAAGTAAAAACAAAAACCGTCGACCGCTGCGATTTTATTATTAATAATATAAGGTGCGGCTTAATTGATTGTATTGTATAGTACGGTTTTGCTAGTCATGTGTGTAATATATTGTAATGGGTTCACCATCGCAAGCACACTTTTAACTTGAATTCGTCGGGTACAATGCACTTGCGGGCGGGTAACTTTCGTTGAGACGGTGCCGACCTTTTCACTGTAGACCGGTACAAATAGTGTTCGGGGAGCTCCAGGTTCACAGTCCGGCAGGCGGTCAGTCTCTCCGGTGTTCGACCTATAAAATAACAGCCCGTTACGAACCCGTTATGATCATGTTGAAATAAAAATTAAATGTTTAGGAAATAGTGTAAGGAGATCGGCCGGAGTGGTTTACTGGCGGGTTGGTCGTGTTGCTGCTGCTCCTGTAGGTGTTGCTGTCTAGAACTCATCAGTACCGTCATTAGAGGGTTGATCTGAGCCGGTTTTCGTGAGGCCTTCGTACCCTTGTCCGTGCCTGACGCCGTCGGGCACCTGCAAAACACGAATACTTAACATTATATACTTCACTGCCGGACAGGTGTGCAGGGGAGGAATTATGCGCACACAATATTATTGTATAATGTTCCATCCTATAAGGGAACGGTATTATGATATATTATAAGAACACAATTAGCGCATACTTATGTGGGTCTGATTTGAATTGTATAGGTTAATATAAATACTATTATTCTACTGTTATAAGTTATTATAATGCGTTAATTAATGTAATCACAAGAATCGCACTTATTATAACTTATAATTAATCGCGTTTATTAATTATTGTATGTCGTCCAATTGTCGGGAGGCTGAAAATTATTTTTAATTTACTCGGTAAATAGTTTTCGTGTCACGGAAAATTATATTATACGTTTACCGAATCCCACATAGCAATTTTGTATTTTAATTGAAAATATTTAAATAATATTATGTTATTGACAAATTTGGGAATATTTATTAGTAGTTGTTACAAAATTTTTACATCCTGTTTTTGGATAGGAGTTCCGCATACGGGCGGTCTCTCCACAAGTTATTTTTTTCAAAGTCACACGTATATAATATTTTACACAAATGCTTATTGTATATTTTATACAGATCGTATTTTTACTTTAAAAAAATGTTTTTGGCAAGAAATAAAATATTAATAAAACGAATATTTGAATACTATTTCCTAAAGAATAAAAATGGAAAAAGTATACATAACACAATTATATTGGTTATTCAAATTATTTTCAAAATGTCAGACAAAAATTTAAAAGTATTAATATTGTTATACTACCGTGTGAGAAGATATACTTTAATTACTATTGTTTAACATTTTTAAATACCATTAATATAATACGGGTATTACTATGGGATACTTAGAAAGTACATGTGTTAAGTATTATTTTTAGTATGAAAATTATAAATATTAACATCAGTGTCAACTTAATGGTTTAGCAATTGAAATATTTATCACAATAATAACAATTTCTTATGTAATACGTTTTATTTATTTTTAACATATTATTATTATAATTATAATTTAAATTTACTTTAGCTAAAAACAGTAAATAAAGTTATTTTGTTAAAATTGAACTATTGACAACTATTCAATAGGTATTGAATACACATAAATAAAATGTCGATAATTAAAAGGCTATAAGCGATTTTACAAGCGAGGAAAATTAAAAATATACTTACAATGTGTTCTTGTGACTGGCCTGTTAAATTGTTTCATCAATTTAGTAATTGATGAAACATTATACAACAAACATAAATATAATATTCTTTTGATACATTTTTTATACTAAAAAACTTGTTAGAAAAATGTTTGCCTTACGCTTTTGGTTTTTAACACTTATAATTTGTGTTTTAAGTATATTTTTAATTGTATATAACTTTTTCATTTATTATACTGATGACTGATGCTTGAGATTTTATGGGGAACCTAAAAGCCTTGCTCCTGAAAAGTTTTGACCCTTTAAACTTAATTATCACAACTTTTATAGTATTGAATTTTAGACCATTGTTTAGATGAGAAATATAGCAATTGTCCAACAAATTGTATTAGTCTGTCATACACGAAGTTATGTTGGGACTTTTATTTGTAACATATTTTGTAAATAAATATAATGGTAGATGGGGCTTGGAGGGTACCATTATTTTATGTGTTAAATACTTTAACTGTTCAGGTATTTAAATGTATGCGATTTATTCAGTCGTAAAATAATTAATATTATAACAAAACTTTTGTTTAAACGACAACACATATACCATAATATATTATCATTTATGATGTATTATATTATATAAGTTGATAATATTCTATAATCTTTACTCTAGAATATATTTTTCATTTAAACAATGAAATATGAATAATATTGGTTTCAAAAAGAAGAAATTATAAATTTAATTAAAAATAAAATTTAAAAAATAAAAAAATATTATGAAATTGAAAAAAAAATGTTTATTTTTATTAATTTAATAATAATACTATTTATTTAACACAAATTTTTAATCTGTTTAATTAATTCAAGCTATGATTTTTAATATCACTATTTGTCTACAAGCTTAGCGGTTTTTTTTATTTTTCTGAGTGTCATTGAATAATAAAATAATATTACAAATTTTCATGTTATACTTAGTAATATACCAAGAAAGTTAGAGAAACGAGAAATCGTTGGTTTGAAGAATATCTCAACCATAAGTAATTTCCCGTTGTCGACCCATTAGTTAAACGTCAAGCGACTATTTTTGCCCAACTAGTCCATGTAATAAACTGAAATGCACACAGAGAGTATAGTTTTGTTAAGGTACCATTTTGTGTATATACTAATATAAAAACGGCACTACACAATTCAATAGTCGGTCACGTTATGTTCTGGCAGACCGGTTATTTTATGAGTGGATAATATAAATGACAGACATAAAATATAACCGTATGCTTGGATTACATGAAAATACTTGTAAAATCATTTAAATCTTCACGAAAATAACGAGCCATATCAACTAACATTTACACAAAGATTATAACTTTTAGGCTAAAAACTGTATACTTATATACTTAAAAAAAACATCTTTATTTCAATTTAATATTAATTTCCAACTCTTACAAAATAATCGTTTGGCTAATTATTTTACAAAAAAATTTTAAAAAATGTTATCCTACAACAACATTACACCGGAATTAAAAATTAAATATTAATGTGGCGCATATAGCCTTCCTGACTTAGCTTTATGAAACATATTCGAATAGGTATATTTAAGGAAAATAGTTTAGCAAGAAGTAAATATAATTAGGGACTATATTAACAACAGTCAATATTCAGAGCGCTTTAACAGTCATTTAACAAGTATTTTTTTCCTATAAAGCAATATTAATTTCTTATGAAGACATTTAATTTTAAAAAGAAAAATACCGGGTAATCCATTTAACTTGAAACACAATTTTGTAGTTTTTATTTATGTTATTGACGCAGTTTTTCAGTTTAATCCATGCATATGGTAAACCCTATCTAATCCTAGCTAAAAAGTAAGATTTACATGATTCATGCCATTCGATCGGGACAAAAATATATCACTCACATGTTCTTGCCTTTAGTTTTCCTAGACGACGTCCGGCCGCCTCCTCCGCGGTCGTTGCGCTTTCTCTCGTGGCCCTTGACAGTCGGTGGCCTAGGGGTTATCCAACGGACCCTCGGATCCTCTAGATCCATTCTGTTGATCCTAATCTCCGGCAACCACGAGGGTGACGATCTTTCACCACCAACGCCGTCGCCGTTCAACTTGGTCGTGTACGTTGTTTTCCCTTTAATGCTATTATTCTTGCTATGATCTGCACGTTATCTCATCCGAGCATAACAAGGGTTTAAGAAAAAGCGAGGCAAGACAGCTTTTTGTCGAATCTGGACGGCGCGCGCGGACAGCAGATAATCGACAGGTCGACAGGCCCGACAACAATTGTATATTATACCTAATATAGTATGTGTACAGAAGCACAGAACCCTGTCAGTGTGTGTGTGTTTTAAATGGGCTCGTCAGTGAGTAATGACAGGTGCCGGCACGCGCGCTTCATAACAATAATAACGTCACAACTATGCGCACACGTATAACGTTATACCTATACAATAAAATAATAAATATTGTAATAATGAATGTACACAGCCGTGTCGGATTAATGTTTTAGAGCCGGTAACAGGGTGGTACGCCGGGTCAAGCTGTGTTCTTCGTGTACATACAATGGCGTTGGCTGTTTTAATTTTTCCCCTCACCTCTTCTATAAGCGTATAAACTAGGTTCAAAGCAATATGCAAATGACAATAGTTTCAGATTCAAATTATTTAACAATAATTATAAACTATTGTTGTGTTTTTCGTTACAAATATATAAATGATTTACTTAATACCTATTACTTGTTACTCATTACTAAATATTTAATATCACACATTAAGTGTAAAATAGTATTTCTATTAGTCCACGCACATCAGCAACTACAAATATAAAACGACGAAACAAAAATTGCCTATACAAAACAGGGCTTTAAAATTACATTAAATTTATTTTTGTGATATATTTTAAAACAATAAAATTAAATTAAACGAATTTTTAAACTATAATAACGATCCATGATGATGTTTCTCAATTAGTAATACTAAAAAAAAATAATTTCTTCTTATAAATTACCGAATTTAAAAGATTAATGCTAAAAAGATATTTCTTTAAAAAAAATGTTCTTATTTTTTTTACTAATATTTTATTAGAAAAATAAAAATAAAATTGAATTGCCATATAATGTTTTATCAACAAGATTACTAGTTAACATATAAAATGTATAATTACATGATAATAACTATGCATAGTATATTCTTTAGCTTCAATGCAATATCTGGGCGGGTATTGTTTTAACAATTATGTGTTGTTTTTTGTGTCTGAAGACACGATAACTTTTATTTTATTTAGTATACAAAAAATATTTAATACTGAGTATTTTATTTTTTTAATATATTTTATGAAATTATAAATCACAACTTCTTCTTATCGTGTTCGACACCGGTTTTTGAAGGATTGGATGACGAATTTTTGTTTAAAAAATCCGCCGTTCCAGTGGCGCCCGGTTGTTACTAATAAGTACCCGATCAACTAGCTCACAACACTCGACTTGCAGCCTACAGGGACGTCCGGCGTGTAATCGTCGTCGTCTAATGTTGTAGGTGGTTTTACGGAAAAAAATTAAAGCAATGCCAAATGTTAAACTCCGGCTATTGAGTGTATTTTTTTTTTTTTAGGTACAAATGTGGTAATAACTGTACAGGTCCGCTGTATAATATAATAATAACACCGTAGCCGTCGCGTAACGGCACTAGGAGGCGGACAGGGAAAGTGTAGGGAATTAAAAGAGGTAACGAAATCGTTCAACCCTTTTCGTTTTTAATAACGGGTATCTTATACGAATCGCTTCCACGCGTGTAATAAACCTTCTGGTTACAGGGCAAAAAAAAAAGTACCCTAAAAAAAAACCTTTCGATTCAGGTACATTATATTAAAAGGAAAACGATGATGTTTGTGTATAATTATGTGCGTATCATTCTATAAAGTAATCAATACAGCAGTGCTTAATCGCTTTAAGTTTTTTCCTCGTGTCAGGCATCATACTGGTAACTATAAGAGAGTAACTAGGCTAGTTTATATAACTGGTATACAATTTAAAATATACATAGATAGATAAAATGAAATACAATAAAATATGGTAGGGTAAGTGTTTCGACTAGATATTTTCATTTGCCCAGTACTGGGCCACGTCCTTGGCTTTCTGGTTGGCAGTAGTTAAGTCTTCTAGCGTGCAAGGCCCTGGTGCCAACGGGCATACCAATAGGTGTGCCATCGTCTGAATTGTTCCACAGCGGCAAGAGGCATCCTGATCATTAAGGTATCCCCATTTCAGCATGTTAGCCTTAGAACTTCCAACTCCCACTCTCAGTCGATTTAATGTCTTCCACTCATGCCATTGTAGTTCGTGCCCTGGAGGTAAGTGTTCCGCAGGTTCAATCCAGTCTCTAATGTCCTCTGTTTTATCTTTCCATGCATTTATTCTACTTTGAGAGGGGTCATTTTCTAAGATACTAGAGACTGTAGGAAAACTTTTTCTCGATTGTAGCCATCTGTCCGTACATAGGATGTCTCGGGTCGTTTGCCTGTTTTTGTCTCTCCAAGTTGGTGGAAATTAGTCGTCTTATTGATGGTGGAGCTATGCCTGCCAATAAGTATACTTTTTCAATAGGTGTGTTTTTTAGGCATCCTGTTACAATACGACATGCATCATTTAGAGCAGTATCTATTTTTTTTTACGTGAGTTGATCTTCCCCATACTTCACATGCGTATTCCCCGACTGAAAAACAGAGGGACATTGCAGATACCCGTAGGGTGTGGGGTTGTGCTCCCCATTTTGATCCTATTAGTTTTCGGAGTAAACCGTTGCGTGTGTTTATCTTTTCACTTGTCATTTCGCAGTGATATTTATACGTTAACGTTCTGTCAAGAGTAACTCCTAAATATACTGGTGTATCGCAGTGTAGTAGTGCCTCGCCTTCCCATGTGTCTTCTAATTTACGATTGGCTTCCCTGTTTCTCAGATTAAATGCGCATAGAAGTGTCTTATTCGGGTTTGGTTTGCGGTGGTTACTTGTAAAATATTTGCTCGTGTTTTCCAAAGCGTTGGTGAGCTTTTCTTCTAATGTCTCGAAATTGCTGTCCTGCACAGCTATTGCTGCGTCGTCTGCATACATAAAATGTTTCATTTGATATATATTGGTCATTTGTGTAAATGTTGAAAAGTGTTGGAACAAGAACACTACCTTGTGGTAGTCCGTTTTTCGAGTTCCTTCATCTGTTGTGTTTCCCTGCCAGAGTGACAAAGAATCGTCTATTACTCATCAAAGATTCAATAATTTGCGTTAATCCTGTGTAAGTTTGTAAATTTTTTCTAACAGTAAGCCGTGGTTGACTGTGTCATAGGCTGCCGAAAGGTCAATGAATGCCACGCCGGTTATTTGTTTTCTCTCAAAACCGTCCTCAATGTGTTGGGTAAGGTTAAGTATTTGTCCTGTGCAGGACTTACCAGGCCGGAAGCCAGCTTTTTCTTTTATTAATTTGTCATTTATGGCTGGACCTAATCTGTTCAATAATATCAAATGAATTTATAATAATATTAAATTAATTTAAAATAAATTATAATAAGTGTGTTTGACTAGTTAATACACGTTACACATACTGTAATAATAAACAGAGACATGAAAAAGTATAAAATAATACATAGGGTGATTGGTTAACTATGCGTCAATCAAAATCGTAGAAGATAATATACTTTTCAAAATTGTTCTCTTTTATACTTGTCTAGTTATTTTGCCTTAAATTGAAATATTTTCCAAAACATATAACCCCATATCTTATGTGTTAAAACCGTGTGAAATTTTCAAAAGGTAATCAGTTTTGAATAATCTATTTAAATTTAAAATTTAGGGTGGAAGGAAGGGTAAAGTGAAGTGTAATATTATTTTATCTGTGTGCGTTACTCAACCGCACTCCACCACCTGTCCTAATTTTAATCTTCTAGTCAACATTTTCAGAAAATTATTTTCAACTTAAAAAGTTAATTAAATAATAAATATACATATTTTTAATTTTTTTTATGATGACTGTATAGAATCTAAAATTTAAGTTTTTAGTATAATCAACACAAAAAAGGCAGGTTTACTAAATTTAAAATTTGGTTTTTATGTTATCACTATTTGTTACTTTACGCAAAACCATTAAAAAAAAAGACTAAACATGTTAATTTAATTTGTTTAAAGTTGTTAATGCATTTATTTTTAGTATATAAATAAATGTTGAAAAATCATGAAGTTAAAAAAAGTTGTTATTTTTATAAATCCGTGAAAATAAACGGGGTTTGTTAAGACCCCACGATACCACGTATGTATGAAAAAAAAGTGATACCAGTTAAGGGTTAAAATTCTTTAGCTCATGGGTTTTTAACACAAAAGGAATGTGGTTGTATTGTTGACAAATATATCAAATTCGAGCTGTCTAATAACTATAAGAGTATGAAAATGAATAATTTTTAAAAGTCTTATATCTTTTCAGATAGTGACTGCGTCAAAGTTAACCAATCACCCTGTATAATAATAATAATAATAATGTTATGATGTTGTAATGACTACATTAAGGAAAACAGTCAGGAGCCAACGGTCGTAAATCTTTTGACGGGCTTGCCTCCACTCGAAACGTTGTTCTGTTGTTCTGGGGGTAAGTTCTAACCCCACTCACGTCTCGCGGTCGACCTATTGTATATATATATATATATATAATATCGCCTTCCCCTGCACACAAACAAAACTATGCGGTCTATAAATGAAAAAGGCAATTAATCTGATCGGTTAACGCGCGATGACGTTCATGGCCAGTAACATTAAATCCGAGATTTTCCCCTAGATTACATCCCTACTGCCCAAACACCGGTCAAAGCTAGTTGCTAGACAAATCTCATTCGGCGTCTGACCCACAGCCTCATATATGTAACCTATTTTCCTACTGTGATTGTATTGACCATAATATTGTGATTGATGATATTGACAATAAATTATCTGTATTTTCTAACGATAAATTATTGCGACTTCCACAACAGGGATTAAACGTTTCCTTAAACTTTTTTTTTTTCATTCCGTTCACTTGCTATCGTATTGTGCACAGTATTTATGAATATTATCAAACTATACCCGAATAATAATCCCGCCTAGAAATGAATACGTCTACACATCTATCGGTAAAAGCTATACAGCTTGGATTGACTAAGCAAAGCAAGCAAATTACAATAGTATATTATAATAATACATTTTTTTACTAAATGACATGCATACATACATTTTTGTGTAATATTATCTAACCAAAA